AGATAAAACATAATAAATACGACATAGAAAAAACCCAGCATATTCACACATGAGTCACATCACAAATAAATCAATATATAGCTCCAACACTCTCCATCCATCGGAATGTGTATAGTTTCTATTGGTTCAACTTTCTTTTCCTTTGACTGCAGCATTCACTAAAACGATCACAATAAATGGACAAGAGTATCATCTTCAGCTGGTCGACACAGCAGGACAGGTATAGTTACTGAATTTGATCAAATATACATTAATAGTTAACTGTTAATTCTGCCTCGTTACTTAGTCAGAATAACTTTTCATCCCTTATTTTCTATCTCTATAGGATGAGTACTCTATCTTCCCACAGACCTACTCCATAGATATCAACGGTTACATTCTGGTCTATTCAGTCACATCCAATAAAAGGTATACTTTTCCTCCCCTCCTTATCAAAAGGATATATGAAGTTCTGTATAATGAGGTGAAACGGCATTCAAAGGCTTAAGAGGAAACTTCCCCTTGTTTGTTTCAGCTTTGAAGTTGTACAAGTTATCCATGAAAAACTATTGGACATGGTGGGAAAGGTTCAGTAAGTTCTTCGCCTTTCTCATTGTATCTTCTTGTTATGCTGCCTTAGGCTTTCCAAGACATGTAATTTATCAAACATACATGACAATTTGCCGTTTACTTTTCCCTCTATTGCAGAGTTCCAATTATGCTCGTCGGAAACAAGAACGACCTACATATGGAGCGGTATGTCCCAACACACTTCAAATTGAACATTAGGTCAACCATTCACAATAGGTATACACATGGGGCATAGCATTTGTCAGTTTTTTATTTTATATCCTCATTTTCATCTTCATATCACACACACAGAAATACAGAGCAGATGTTAATGTTTTGTTCACAGATGACCCAAAAGAAGGAGACAGCTCGAGTAGTAATACTTGTTCATATCTGTTTGTGTAGCTCTTTTCGCATATACCTTAGTCAGTGGAAGCAGAATCCATAAGTTGAACTAGGTTGAACTTGATCTATGTTTTTTTCCATTTTAGAGTAATCAGTTGTGAAGAAGGAAAAGCATTAGCCGAATCCTGGAACGCTGCCTTCATGGAGTCCTCAGCTAAAGAGAACCAGGTAAGAGTCAAAACTGCAGAGATCATATTCAGATAACAGCACTTTGTTTATGTTTGGGATGGTTCTTATCAATAACTATTTATCTGTCTGTTGGTCCCAATAGAGAATTTGTTTATGAACCAGATGTGAGCTTACACCCTCAAAGATGTTACCAGTAAACGTTTGGGGGTATGCAGTATGAAATACGTGTGTCTACCAGGTGGGGAGTGTCTGACCAATAGATGATGACAAGTTGAATTCTGGGAAGTGTAGGATCTAGCATCTTCACCTACACCTGAGATGTATTTTGACTTTTTTCGTTTAAATCTGTCTTTTTTTTATTAAGTGGTGAGTCATGGTGGCAGATCCTCAATGAAATGTTACCCAACTTGTTTCTCTACCAAGTGTTTAAACGTCTTTCAGCTCACTGTTTGGGTTAAAAGGCCCTCAATTTATGCTTCATTTGTGTTTCAATCTCACTGCTCTCATCACCTGATTTCGCCAAAAAGCTCCAAAAAAACCAGTGTAACCACAGATAAAAGAGACTGTATATTGAACTTCAAGTAACAAGAGGCACATATCTAAATGCTAATATTGCTCTGTGCCTTTTGGATGTGTAAATAACTGTTGGATAACAGCTTTCATATATTCACTCGATAATATATCAAAGTTGTGTTTAGAGCTAACTTTATTGCCCACTAGTGTCCAGAAATATTAATTCACGCAGATTTAACTGGTTCAAAAGTGTATCCACCACAGCCTTTGAGATACAGCAAGTTGTAACTGCTATAACTTAAAGGGGACCTATCATGCAAAATGCACTTTTGTACGTCTTTTATACATGAATATGTGTCCCCGGCGTTCCAGGGAACTCACCAAGTGTCAGAAAACACAACCCTCTCTATTTTCCTCCATACCCAAATCTCTAAAAAAGGGGCTGCAACGGATCTGATAAAAACTGATCCAGATTTGAACACTGTCCTGACGTCAGGACGGTGGCGCTACAGCTATTGGGCCAACTCCACCAATCAGGAGGAGACAGCCACGGCCATTGCCGTTCGAAAGCCCTTGAGACGCTGTAGTACATATGCCAGGCCTGTAGATGGTGCTGTTGTCACAGAATCAGCCCTTGCAAAAACAGAGCTAAAATATTTCAAATTGAGCAAAATGAGGCATGGCTAAAATGCATGATCTGTTTGGTATTTTGAAAAAAAAAAGTATAAATATGCCTTATATAGGTATGGTCCTACACTATATTATTCAAATATAGCATGATAGGTCCACTTTAATATAATTCCCTACATTTCTTCCAGGGACAGGCTAAGGCTTGGCCAAAGTGAGCTAAAAGTAATCAAAAAAGTTGCCACAAAGGCCACAATAATCAGATCTTCTTGATATATATATTATGTATTTAGGAAACTTAGATAAGTTTGAAAATGGAAACACTTTCTAGGAAACTCTGTGTATCTGCTTCAAATTAACCTAGCAGACAACAGTGTGTGTCTGTCTTTACATTTGCAAAAACAACACCTTCTTTGTTGTGCATAAAGCCAGTGTGCCTCTACTGGATGTAATTTGTTCTACTGGAAAAAGTGGTGTGACTTGTGTGTGTGTGTGTGTGTGTGTGTGTGTGTGTGTGTGTGGGTGTGTGTGTGTGTGTGTGTGGTGTGTGTGTGTGTGTGTGTGTGTGTGTGTGTGTGTGTGGTGTGTGTGTGTGTGTGTGGTGTGTGTGTTGATGTGTGTGTGTGTGTGTGTGTGTGTGTGTGTGTGTGTGTGTGTGTGTGTGTGTGTGTGTGTGTGTGTGTGGTGTGTGTGTGTGTGTGTGTGTGTGTGTGGTGTGGTGTGTTTGTGTGGTCTCTCTCTCTATACTCTCTCATCTCTCTCTCTCTCTACTTATCTTCTCGCTCTCGTTCTATCTTATCTCTCTCTCTCGTCTCTCGCTCTCTCGCTAGATATATCTCGCTCTCTCTCTCTCTCTCTCTCTCTCTCTCTCTCTCTCTCTCTCTCTCTCTGTCAGACGGCTGTGGAAGTTTTCCGGAGGATGATCCTTGAGGCAGAGAAGATGGAAGGCGGCGTGCAACCAGGAAAAACTTCCTGCTCCATGATGTAGAGCCGCCCAATCAACACACAGGACACTGCACTGGGATATCCCGTTACTTGAAGGCTAGCTGCCAGTTCTTCACCACCTCAGCTGACTCCACCCCTCCAGGGTCCTAAATATCCAATACTGTCTATTTATGGCTCTGATTCCACTGTTATTTATCAGTATCTCCTATTCCCTTTTGTCATCCTGGTTTTTCTTTGTGTGTTCGAAAAAAGAAAGTGGTGGTTCTCTTGTCTCCCAAAGTCCACCCCTCCTTCATGTCTGTGTTCGACACTGATGCAAAACACAGAGCTTCATTAGGGTGTATCAGAAAAAATGTTTTCCTGTGCTCGGTAATAACGACTACCGTAACTATGGCCAGAGATAGTAGTGGCTTGATGCATCTTAGCTCCTCATTATGCAGCTCCCATATAGGCAACGAGTCCTTCTCTATTTAAATAGCAAGAGATAAGACAAATGTCATGTCTGCCATGCATACGCTCTGGAAACGGATAAGAAAACGTGGACGTTTCTTCTGATACATCCCCGGCTGTCCTCCAATATAAACAGCTCTTTTTCTACTTCATCTCCACGCAGTACCCACTTCTCTGTCCCTCAGTTTGTTTGCATAGCGGTTACTGTCAGCCAAAAAAAAATCTGCATCCATTTTCTAATGTTGAAAATGTTGTACAAATGTTTTTGATTGTAATCATTAAAAGGAAAAAGTGATTATGTACAGCAGGGTTGAGTGTGGATTATTACTTTGTCCCCTGGGAGGCAGGGAAGGTTTATTTTATAAGCAACATTTCAAAGAATTTTTTTTAAAGAGACGGTAATATATACAACACTAAAAAAAGAGTAGAAAATACACAATTATACAACAAAGAAATCTCTAAATAGAAGATAACGGAACTAAAAAAGTGAAAAAAATAAGAGTTGACCGTGAAAGGATTGACTCAGGATGCAGGGTAGATGATTATGTTTTTCAGATTTAGTAAGCAATGCAGAAAATCTAAAATATTGTATTTATTGAAACACCAATTACATTTTTTTGTTGGTCTTTTTAACAGTTAGAATACCCTTAACAGAAGAGGCAGAGAGTTCAATATACTAGTAGACAATAGGATTTGATGTGCTCATATCAGTGGTTAATATAACGACAAAAGGTGGTACTTTCTCTGAATGTGTTTTACTGTTGAGAGTGATGGATTATTAATTTGCCTACGTTTTTCTCATTTCATAGCAGAGAATTTTGAATGACTATTTTCTTTGGTCTGCTCCTCTCACTTGTGGGCTCAGATAGAAAAAGGTGATGTCATGTTCCTCAGAGCACCAGTGAGGAGAAAGCAATATTAAAATCTGAATCGGGCGACAGCTGGTGGGATGTTTGCTCACTGTCAATGCACTCTGATCCAACTACACCCTGACAGCCCTGGTGAACCAGATTTAGTTTTCCTCTTCATAAATGACTCCTACGGGTATCATTTCACACAAACAAGACGTTTTTCATCGAACATTAAATGTAAGATGTTTGTAAAAAGGAATAAGGTGAAAGACCGTTGAAAATCCTTGAGAGCTGGTGAGAAATATTTCCATCTTTGATAGGTGTCTAACAAATATTAATGCGTTTGAGCACTTTTTTAAGGACGCTTAAGAAAAGACCACTACAAGAACACAACCTGATAACAAATAAAACCCATGCCTTAACAGGAACCCTTTAACTTCAGAAGGTAATATTAGCAGGTAGACTTTGTATTTGACTTCCAATATAATTACAAAATGTTATAGATTTCCAGGCATAACAATGACAAAATGATCCTTGTCAAACATGTTTATTTGTCATGTATTAAACATTACATTTTTATAAGGTGTTGCACATGTCTTCGATACAGCAGTTGATATCGATGTAGGAATTCATCTTCAGCATTTCGCAGTCTTCAAGAGCCATGCATTTCTGGTATTCGCCATCTAAAAAAGGGGGAAAGGTTTTAACAAAAAGCATTTCCTTTATTATATAAGAAGCACCGCACTGTGGAAGAGCCAATGGACTTTGATATATTTACATAATGTCTAAACATTTGACAAACTGTTTCAGTTAATTGACATGCAACTGACTATATGTTACAATGGAGCCACAAGAGGCCTTAAGCTATTTTCTAAATTCATTAGTATCACCACCACCATGACCCTCTGATTTGTATACAGTGGTTTTCTCCTCCAACTTGACTATGATTCACAGCAAAGATAATATTCACATGTTATATTGGTTAATGTATTGAGTCCATGTACTTGTTATTGATAGAAGAGTTCCAGCGTGTTGAAACACTCACGTGGGGGTCTGAGGAAGCTGGCAGCAGCGCAGGCATCCTTCCCTGGTTTACACGTCTCTACACTGAGATCACAGGCTCCTCCGGCCTTTTTGGAGACACAGCGGTGGCAGTCAAGAGTCTCACCTAAAAAAAGACATAAGCAATATTTCAAGTGTTTCTGATTTGTTTCTCTTATGTGAATGTGTTTACTGTAGGAATCCTAGCCCAATGAGCAAGTGGAATGAAATGGATTGAAAGGGTAATTAGTAAGGTTTAATCTACTTAGATGTTAAATGTGTGCATGAAGCCTCAGGTAGATACTGTGCTCTCACATGTAATCATTTCATTTCTTAGATATGACCCCCACAAACTGTTACTAAGTGTCTGACAGGTCTGCTGAGATTGTTTCTGTACAGTAAAGATAGAAGGAGAAAGCAGACGTCTCTGTTGCACAGCAGCAGGGCTTGTGTTTATTCAGTGGAGAATGAGTGACAGACGCACCAGCTGTCAACAGCAGAGCGACGGTTAAAGCCAACACCAAGAACTTCATTGTTCTGTTCAATACTGCAGCTGTTGAAAAATAAAGCACAGATTTGATTATGTACAGTACCTGCAGTACTCTGGATATTATGGCATTTGCATTTACATTACTCCTCCCATAAGACTTTTTATTGTGAGTTTATCTCATGATTTAAGGAACTGATTTAAAATATATACATAAATAGAATTCGGTGCAATGACAGGTGCGTTAGCATGCATGCACAGAGTCATGAAATTGTACATTAAATATAGCAGAAAATGTATAATTAATATTGAATGTATATGATCTGTTATGAATGATCTGTCATTTCAAAGTGTTAAATAAATGTCATAAATAACTAAAAAAAGGTTTAATTTAAGTGTGCATACCTTGCTGATTCTTCTGTCTCGGTTTCTGCCAAATACTGAGATGTATTCATCCACTCTACCTCTTTTTATACTCTTGGTAACGTCCCATTACCTGGATTTTCTCTGTTAAGTCTATATGCTTAGTAACTCCCCCAGCCAGATACACTGTGTTCAGGGGTTAAAGTTTGCAAATGCTCAGATTCCCGCATTATGCAAGAGCCGTCCACTACTTCTGTCATTTATGAGTCTTTCGCAAACATTAATGTCTGCATTTGTCAGAGGTGCAGAGTTATATTAGCTGTATTTAAACCTTAGGAGGACAGGAGGATATTATTGAAGGGCACAGTATGTTTGCTTTAGGTGGATTATGTCTGACCTATATGAGGTGTAATACCTGCAGCTCGGTGCTCTCACTAACCTCGCCTTCAGACTCGTGAATTGCCTCTATACAAAGCCTGCATGGACTTGAATAGCACTAATGAAAGAAGATGAAAGACTGGCACTCCTGCTCAACTGTTAAACACTTGAAATAAATGTCTCTTAGAGAGATGCTGCATAAAAGAAGTTTTTTCTTTGGTGCTAAAGAAATGTGAACTCAATTTTCCCTGAGTCCAATTTAGAGTACCTCCAATCCACCAGTGTCTGGGTGAAAAATGCAGCTAATTATTTACACAAATATGTTAAAAATCTATTATATCATATCTCTTTTTGATGAATTTCAAAACTCTACTCATGAACAAACAACCAACACACTAGTGTTTTACCCATTTTATGGCCTTGATTGACAGCTTTAATGTGAAAACCATTTTTCAAACATAATGTGTGTGTTTTATCTCCTCTCTATGCCACTTTAGAAAGAGAGAGGGGGCTGAAATCGTACAGTACATGAAAGACAGGTTTTTATCTGTTTTGTATCCTGCTCCACCTGTTTTACCTTAAAAACTGCTGCTCTTTGATGCTTTAACGGTGGGAAATTGTCATGGGTCAAGGTCTAAAGTATCCAGGGATTGTGCCTGGATCAGCAGAGAAACACAACAGAGAGTGAGCTGGAAGAAAAGCTGGAGGAAAATCTGTTTCGGAGTATCAGATCTGCTGCCATCAAAACTCAGACTTTAACTAGGACCACACCTTTTTACATTTTCCCAGTTACTCACACAAGTTATCAGAAGGTGGATTTTCTCATGTGCACTTTGTCCTTTCACCTCTGATTTCACTTCTTTGTTTGTTTTCCCACCACCACCCACATAATATTCTGCAACATCACTCCCAAAGCCCAATCATAGCAGAATCTCTCCCCTTCTATTGTTTGGTCCAACCCAAAGAGCCAAACTACAATATCAGCAGTGGCACATGTATGGGAAACTGTCCATGTGGCAAAATGTCTAAACCCCCCATTGTTGTGCTTTTGTTGCCTCTGCCTCGCGATACCGCCACACTCCCTGTTGTCCATATATATCTGGGAGGCCAAATTTTTCCACTTAGACTTTGTGACTTGTTTGGAACAGCTAACAGTGGAAAATGTCTCAGTACTCAGGAAAGGTGAGTACCACAACAGAGGATGGCAGTAAAACTAAATCATGTTACGGCACACAAACAAATGTCAACTTCAAAGGCAGTTGTGATAGCTGATTGGTCCAACTTCACGTTTTAAATGTTGAGTGGCACTTTGACAATAGATCTTTACGACTTTTTCCATTCCAGTATCCGTTTAATATTTGAATCTCCACTGCTTTAACAAACAGATCGTGTTCTATGAGGGGAAATGCTTCACCGGGAGGAAGCTGGAGATCTGCAGCGACTGTGACAACTTCCAGGACCGTGGCTTCATGAACAGGGTGAACTCTGTCCGTGTGGAGAGCGGGGCCTACGTCTGCTATGACCACCCAGACTTCAAGGGCCAGCAGTACATTCTGGAGCATGGAGAGTACCCCGAATTCCAGCGCTGGAATGCCCATAACGATCACATGGGATCCTGCAAGCCAATCAGGATGGTAAGTGTGTGTGTGTGTGTGTGTGTGTGTGTGTGTGTGTGTGTGTGTGTGTGTGTGTGTGTGTGTGTGTGTGTGTGTGTGTGTGTGTGTGTGTGTGTGTGTGTGTGTGTGTGTGTGTGTGTGTGTGTGTGTGTGTGTGTGTGTGTGTGTGTGTGAAACGTGTACGTGTGTGTAAGGGAAAGACAGAGACAGAAAGACCCCAGGGACAGACAAATATTTGTTTTTTTAAGGCTGGCACATGTGTGCACTTCTGTTTTTCCAATTACTGCAGAATGATTTCCTATAGGCTCAGAAATAAGTGTGTTGGTGTACAGAAGCATATCGAGAGCTTGCAGGTCTTCACATCTCATACATTAACGCCATCAGCTGGCAGAAAATCACATATTTAAAGTGCACTTGAGACGTATTGTAGAGCGTGGGTTTTACATATTGTCCTCCGTGAACATTTAACCTGTAGATTTCTATAGAATGTGTTGATGCATACAACACAGTGCTTGTCTTATAAAGACCTTGGTTCTATGCAATGAGTTGAAGTTGACTATTTTTGCTAAGAATCAGTGAGAGGGCATGTTATTATCCTCTACAGCATGGAGAGCACTACAGGATGGAGCTGTTCGAGGGAGACAACTTCTCAGGCCAGTGTGTGGAGCTGTGTGAAGACTGCCCCTTCCTGCAGGCTCGTGGTCTGACCAAGAGCTGCGTCAACTCCGTCAAGGTTTATGGAGATGGAGCGTAAGTATCTCTGAAGCAGGGAAACAGTTGGTCAGAGTGTTTTAACCTGCTCAGACAACTTATAAGCACCAACATGTGCATTTTGAAATGGTCAGTTCGCCCCCAAATAAACATTTGAAAGATGTATTTATTAGTTTTGACATGCAAAAACACCTCTTTATCAGTAGATTCACACTTAGCACTTTGTTTGCTTGTTTGTGTATTCCATAGGTTTTAATGTCGCATTAGACATTATACAGCAGCATCACTTTCTAGAAAAAGTGTCCTTGATACTCTGTCAATGTCTGAGGATAATTCAGTGTAAATGAGAGAAGCTTGGGAAATACGTTTTTTGAATTTATAAGTCATGACTTAATTTATTTATGCTTAAAAAACTAAATTCTCAGATCTTAGGGAAAACGATAAATCATCTATAGCTATAAATACAAGATGTATGACAGACAATATGTTTTAATATGTTGGCCCTTTAAACTCTAAACATTGATTTTAGACAGTATATACGACAAGTCAGATAGAACACTGTCATACATGTATTATATTTAAATATATGTTAATGTTTTTATTCATTTTCCCAAACAGCTGGGTGATGTATGAGGAGCCTAACTATCGCGGACGCATGTACATCGTGGAGAGAAGAAACTACAGCACCCACATGGAGTGGCAGGCAGAGAACCCCAGCATCCAGTCTGTTCGCAGGGTGGCAAACTACTTCTAAAAGCCCCTCACAGTCACAGGCAATGTGTCTGCGAGCGTCAGATCATCAACTGAGGAAAAACACACCCCACTGTCAAGTAATCCCATGCTGACTCTGTGGGGCAGTAAAATAATAAAATATGAAGAAAATGTTTGACATTGCTTGTTCCTTTTTTTATTTTTGTACTGAATTATTCAAAGGTTGTAATAGTGATCTGACACTATCTTCAATCTTATTTCCATGTTTTCCCTGTTTGAAACTCTTCACTTACCACACTGCAGTGTAGAAATGGCTGCAGGCTATGACTCAGGTAATTGCTGTCTCTTATACACCATAACTACACAACTAATGGATCCATTACCAAGTTAAATGAGATACTCTGAATACCACTGAACACAGATTAATAGAAAGCTATAGTGGCATTTTAAACATTCAGAAGGGAAATGAAATGGGTTTTTTAATGCTAAAATGAAACATTACATTACATGTCACTTGTTAGATGCTTTTATCCAAAGCGACTTACATACTCAATACTGTGGGCAATCCCCACAGGAGCAATTTGGGGTGAAGTGTCTTGCCCAGGGACACAACGACATGCTGACTGCAGTGGGGTTTGAACCTGTGCTCCCTCGCTCCGAACACCTGATCCGAACACCAACGTACTAGTCCACTACGCCACAAACTCTTGCCCCCGGGTTTGGCAGACAGCAGTAAACAATAAAAATGGTGTGGTCTCTGAACATATACAGTGTATAAATCAAGAGTGAAAAAGAGATATTGGACAGGTTGAAGCTGTATCTGCCCCTGCCCCGGGAGCTCTGCTACCACCTAGTGTCATTTATCTATTTTACTGTGAAGTCCTGACGCTCACCTCAGGGTTTTTTAAGTGGTCACAATAGGGACTTGCAACGTCATTGTCACAAACATCTGAAAAATACCCAGATTTTGCAATTCTTCTGTGGATGAACTAAGATTACCAAATAAAATAAACAATAGTTCTGAATTATGTATTAATTAAAGGAGCACTAGTATGCAAATGTTCAGGTTCATAATTGTATTATATGTGTAAAAAAATTGGCCCCATGCCAAACTTACTTGCCGACCCCTGCTCTACTGTGATATGTTTACATATTTTAATGTTCAATTATTTTTCTCATACTGCCTGTGCTGCAGCACCTCTTTTCACCCTATGTCTGAAACCAGAGCCCAGTCTACTCTGATTGGTTAGCTGGCCGGCTCAGTTGTGATTGGTCAGCCGCTTAGAGATGTCCTGCCCCTTAATCTATCACGTACAATGTGTTGGAGAGCTAGCCAATAGAAGCTGAGTGTTTCAAAGGGATATCACTATGTTCGGGCAGTAAACAAATGAGTACAATCGAGCATTTCAGGCAAGGTAGTTACTCCCTCTGGAGGGAAAAGAGGGATTTTAGCCTTTGCAGACCATTTAAATGCACAAAAACCTCACACTACAGGAAACAGAAAACCACAATAGGGCCTCTTTAATGTTGTCCATTCAGGGTTTATCTGAATGGACATGTGTTTATAATATGCAGTATAAGCAGTAGCAGACTGCCATAAGATATCTTAAACAGCATTTTACAACATTATTAGCTCATAGTTTCATGTTTATTTATGCACCAATGCATCATTTCCCCTGTGCTCTTATTCTTTTGGGAATGTCACATACGGCTGTGACCATAAGACCTTTAATGAGCACTCATGTGCTTTCTCTTCCAAATGTCATGACAACAGAACACCTATCTTTACAACATTTTGCTCATGGCCTCTATCGAGTTACAGGGTCAATATGGGATGGCTTAATGAGGAAATGCTTTGTCTTGAGTTACACTCAGTGGCACTAGTTTAAGGGCGATTACCTATGTCTAACCTTATTCCTGAACCATTTACTCCATGAATTGTCTGGGTGTCACCAACATGCCATTCGTCTGGATGTCAAAGATGAGAAAGGAGAGAAGGAAACTGTGAGCAAGCCTTAATGGCATTTTAACAATGTCATTGCTGATTTTCTATAATGATGGGGTTTATTTTTTTGCACAAAGGATTACCGTTTTGAAAGAGCGTGGCAGATGCTATGCAAGGACAAACTATGTGCAATGGTATTTTATATCCATAGATGTCTATTTCATTTCAATAAAAATACTTGATTATTTGCTCTAATGGAGCTGTGCATTCCTCTTAAGTGGGGGGATTACAAAAGAAAAGCATACCAAATTAGTGGAGAGGAAATGAGTTAAAGCTTAACCTTTTTAAAGGAAATACTTTTATAAGTGGCTGTCTGTTGGCTGCATGGTAGACTTATGAGTCTGCAGTCTGACCGAACTTTGTCACTAAGTCTGTCTTATTTAGCAATTATCAAGAGAACAAGGCAAACTTATAAAATAATACTATGGAAGAGATTGGGGAAGAACGTTGTCACACATTTCCTGTTTTGTGGTAATATTACAAATGCAAAGTGATTCATTATGAGCCACGGTTTGGCTCTATTTTGGTTGTGCTATGTAATAAATATTTTATATTAGGACCCATAGGCTGGCAGAGAAATAAGCAATTAGAACGAATTTATTTAAAATAGCATTTAATGTATCCTGTTACTCCAAATTAGGTCAGCTATTTTTAGCAGTGCCACTAATGCATAAAAGATCATTCAGATAGAAAAGATCCTCAGAATTTATTATACTCTTTGTGGGGCTGAAAAACACATTTATTACACTGATACAGATAAACAGATATAATGGGTTGTGTTATGTAAATATTGAATTAGCTAGGACACTTTGAGTTTGTAAGTACTGTGTATTGGTATACTGTAAATACAATTAAAACATAATACCGTAGATTTTTTTAAGAGGCTAAAAATATCGCACTATCCTATTTATAACGAGTAGAATAATGAGACATTTCCTGAAAATGTAATTTAAACCCCGGGCTAAATGATAGGAAGCGAAAAGTAGTAGTAGAATACCCACTCTGACCACAGAAAGTGCAAGTGTATACCAGCTGGGACCGGGGCAAATACCAACATGAAAAGCACAAATATTTCCCCTACGTATTATTCCCCTCCGATAGTTTTTAAAAGATTAAATGAACGTAGTATCTATCGATACGAGGCTAAAATAAAGTCATTCCAGGCGTGTATCTACGGTGTCGTGTTAAGGTCACACGCTGGCTGCCTGAATTCCCCTCTTTGTGTTTACACATCCGGGTTTCCCTGTTTGCAGCCCATTCCCCATTTAGGAGCCATTTTGGACACAGATCAGTAACATGCATGTAAACCCCGACCGACCTCCCGATGCAGCGGTGCTACTATTCAAGTGAATAACCTCAAAAAGAGCGCTGAGCTTTCGTCTCGGATGCTTTAAACGCTTTCCATTCGGTTTTTGGATCCACTTCCGACGCGAAATGCTGCCCGTATTACTGGACTAACAGTCAGTTAATCGCTCCTATCTTCTCTTGCAACATTGTTGCAGCGTCGCGGCTATTGACACGCGTTGTGGTGGTGGTTAGGCTGCTGGAGGGACCGGAGGCCTGTGGTCGTTTTGATCCTGGACTGATGTTTCGGACAACCTGAGTTTTAATGTTCGCGACGGAAAGCGGGGGAAATATCGGTCCTGAAATAAAAACGGAACATGTCTTTTTCATGGCTGACTTGTTCACTTCTTCTGGGAACTTTATGTGCAGGTAAGCTGCTTTTTGTTGGTTCTGAATTTGCAACAGTTTTGTTCCCCGAGTCCGGAGCAGAGACATTTAAGTGTGTAATTTTTTGCGGTGGAAATTTCGACCCGCGAGCGAGTTTTCGTGTGTTTGTGGCTTAAACTTTTGTTGGCTGTAGATACTATCGGTCAGCGGTGGGGATTTTATTCTCTTACCATAATCGCCTTTTCTCTGTTTGCCCCCACAACCACCTCTAATTCACACACGGGAATTATTCGAGGGAAAGCTGAGACTTTTTACGCGAAGAAAATACACGAAACGGCATTAAATACAGCTTTTTAGGCTGAATAAATTCCCCCAAATATATCCAAATGTAAAACTGTTGCGTCCCCCTCGGCTTTCCTAACAGTGGCAGGAATAGAAGGCAGCAGCTGCATCAACATCCTGAAACCTTATAGGCTACATCAGGTCTGCTCTCCTGTTTGTGGTCACAGCCTCAACAAGAGCCTTTGATAACACCGTTTCCCCGAAAAGGATTTTCATAAATCAATGTGCGTTTGATTTGACGAGAGAGCAGCTGTTGTGTGAAGTCAGGTCTTTACCTCAAATTGAGGTTACTGTTACACAGTTTCGTCTCTAAAGCCTGTGATTTGTAACCCCGTGAAATAGAGCATAAGGGGTTGTTTTTTCTTTTGTTTGGTGATTTTCTTTGCCATTGCTTGCAACTCATATGTGTGCTCCCAACACGTTCATCTTTGTCCCCTAGCTAGGCATTCCCTGTAGTGCTTTTGGGAACAATAATATCCACTTTGCCTTTCCACTTTCCCCCCGAACTGTAATACATTTTTTATTCAGGCAGCTGTCAAATAGCGCTGTGGCTAATGCCTTTATGGTTTATAGATTAGGACTCGGAGTATATAGTAAGCTGCTTCTCCAAATTCATGTTGTTGTGGTGTAAGCCTCAGTAAGTGACAGAGGGAGGGGGGTTGGGGAATGATCTTGTAGTAAAAGTCCTCCCGGATCATGTGACCACAGATATCAGAAATGCCATCTCGGCTCAATGGAGCATTGAACATCTCGACAGTGTGTGTGTATGTTAATCTTTACTACCTTCATTTATTCAATACTTTATAATGAGAATGATGTTTGGTCATTGCATGCACCCCCTTATTCTATAATGAAATCCATTGTACGCTGCCGGACAACTAAATGTATGTGTGTGTGTGTTAGTGGATGCGTGCCTGTGTGTGTAATGGGTTGATGGGGGTAACGCTGGGGGATGGGCGGCCTCCTATAGGCAGGGATTTAAAGAGACAGCCACTATTTTTTCTGCGAACAAAGATTAGGCATGAATGTCCGAGAGCCATTGTGAATTACATGTTATCTGCTGCTGAATTAATCAAAAACACCTCTTACATATGTTCCTTCAGTGTGTCCAACACTAAATCCCAAAGAGAACATCTTCAATCAGGAATTGTAGGAGACTGAAAGCTTTTGTCAAGTTTCAACTTGGTTATAGGGAAACTATTCCTGCTAAATGACAGTAAAAGCCCTTAAAGAAAAAGCTCCTATCTGTGTTTCCAGATGTGTCACACTACAGCAAGTCCTTATCTATAGAAGTAGCACACTGGTGGTTTTCTATATCACAGCAGGGCATACCATTGTTTTTCTGTTGCTAATTAAATTGTTCCCTTCTTTTTAGTTGTTACTCTCTGAATAGATATTTTAGTGAATGGGATTAGGCTGAACTACAATTCAGCAACAATTTCTATGCCCAGAGGAAGTCCCTTTTCACTACACAGAGCTCCCGAACTTGGCCGTGTGCCACAGTGATGATAGAGGCTCTGCTCAGTGATGTTTCTTCGTGGCATCGAGCAGATCCTGCACCATATGTCTGTGCTTCCGCTGTTGATTTCCAATTCATTAAGACGTGAGCTGACTGAGGCCTTCTGTCCTTCTCAGGGTACAGTCTGGGCGAAGCAGAGACCCGGGGAGTGTGTGTACTACAATGATAACTGGCGTACGGAGAGGACCAACCAGAGCGGCTTCGAGCGCTGCGAGGGGGAGAAGGACAAGCGACTGCACTGTTACTCCTCCTGGCTCAACTCCTCAGGGACCATCAAGCTGGTGAAGAAAGGCTGCTGGCTGGACGACTTCAACTGCTATGACAGGTGGGGTCACTGAGCGAGGTCATCGCCACCTTGCATTTACATTTATGTTTTAGGTATCTTGTATCCAGAGTGACTGGCAGGGAGTACAACACAAAAATCATCTTCCGTAGATGCATGTAGTTCAAGACAGCTATGGTTCTTTGACACAGGGCCTTTTCAGCTGCAGAAATAAAACATCTAATGCTAAAACATGTCAATCAGCCCATCAAATGAAAAAATAGGTGTTTCTGGCTTCTCAAATGTTAGGATTATGTTATCACTTTAAATGTATTGTCTGTGGGTTATGTCCTTGTATTTGGACAAAACAAGCAATTTACACATGAAAATTATGTCCGGCATTATTCCCTTTTTTAAGTAACATTTTGTACAGATCATACGATGGATCAGCAGATTTAAATAATCAAGAATCATCCGTTGAAGCCTTACAACATCCCAACTTGACATAAACCAAATCATAAAATGAAGATATGCTGGATATATTATCTGTGACCTATTTGCATATAGATTTGTTTTTACATATTTGCATTGCTTTGTCACAAATATAAATCTCAACATGCATTACATTCACGCAGTTGCCAGTTTATTATACAGACTGGGTGCATCTGTTATTTAGCCGACTCTTGTTGTTATAAGCGGGGATGAGAAAATAATAAAACACCTTTTTTAGTATGAATCAATACGTTTCAACAGCTCCACAAACTACATCCTCCAAAAAGATTATACAGTTAAATCATCTCCTCTGTAAAAACAGATTCGACCAAGATGGCCCATTATTACCTTCATGCGGGCAGGATGTATTGCTGTTGTGTATATATATAAGACTGACTGCTTTAGCTGAAATTGCACTCAATAAACTTGTGACTTAGTTCAAGTCTCAGCACACATTACGTAAATTGACAAACACACATAGCCACCTCTATGAATACTTTAGACATACACACAGCAAATGAGCTTATATTAAAGGAGTATAGTGCTGAAACGTCTAAAGCCTCTTATTTAATCTTGACTATTTTATTAACTAAAATGGCTATTTCCCCGAGCCCAAGATAACCTATTCAACTACTCCTTTGTCTGTTTCAGGGTACAAACCCCATAGATATTACATATTCAATTAATCGCGAAAAAACAGAAAATGTACACATTGAATAATTTGATATCTTAGCAAATATTAAATAGTTTTACTGACAAGTTACTCATATAGTTGATGAATTATCCAAAAGCTATCCATTTATTTCTGAAGAGTGAACAACGACAGACAACTTGTATCAAACCAGCCAAAACCTAGAAGGAGTTTGGCCCACTACATCCACACATGGAAGTATCTACACAAACACAGCACTCGTATTAAATGTCTGAAACTACCCAAACATGTTGAGGTAAACTGAAGTGATATGAAAATGCAATTTCCAATCATGTTAAAGAAGCAGACTCCATTAGATGGTGGAAGTGATTTCAACAGGAAGAATTCATGTTTGCCAAATGCTCTGCAGCCAGCAGAGCTCACACTCCTTCTTAGTGGGAGTAACAGATAGTATCTGTATCGCCGGTGCAGAGTACAGCTTAGTGTCCACAGCCCGGCGATGGCACAGAGATACGGTGGCACCCGGCCTCGCAGGAGTTTCTAAGTCAGGAGGAGAATTTCAAACTAGCCTTTATCAGCAGCCAGTGCAGAGCTGTGCAGCGTGATCAAACTTTAAATATTCAAACCACAACATTGTGAACAAGCTGGTGTTTTCTTGTAGCTCATGAAGGCCAGCTGGAGAAAACAGGACTGTAATAATATCCCCCAGATGACACATTTGTGCTTATAAAGAATTAGTCATTCGCCGCCAATAGAACAGGTAGTTCTTTAGCAACGTGTTAGAGCCTCATTCAATTGTGATTGTTAAAGGTGGTTTTCGTGCTGATGAGTGACAGTGGCATGCCAGTGTTCATCAGCTGAAAAAGCTTAAGCCTGAAGGGCTGTTTGCTTTTACTCTCCATGGATAAAACGGATCAGTAACAAAAGGCTCAATCAAATAGTGACAACAAATAAAAACAGTGGTTGGGAAATTTGAGCAATTTTGGAGACAAAGTTAGAAAGATGAATAATAGCTTTTAAGAGCAGTAATTTAGTCACTTGCCTAACGTTTTAGAAACCCTGTGATTCATTTGAATCATGACAGACAGTTCAATAATTGTGTATGTTGATAATTTACTAGGTAAACAAGACGATATGTTCATATTTAAATAGATTTGGCTCATTTATGCACCCTATAATTGAGTCTTTGTTGGCTTATACATTAGCAGCTTTACCATTTTCCAAAAGCAACGACAGGACTGGGTTAAAGTCAGAGATATGAAAATGAACCTCGACAACAACAATGATGTTCTTTGCGTAAAGGGTGGATTTACAGCAGAAGCAATCTGCTCTACAAACACAACGTTAGTTCTACTGTTATTATGAAAAATGCTTGACATGTATCTACTTTCGAGATATGGTTGACAACGAAATAATTCAGGTGTGTCGTCTTCTTCTTTCAGGCAAGAGTGCGTCTCCATGGAGGAGAACCCTCAGGTCTTCTTCTGCTGCTGCGAGGGCAACTACTGCAATGAGCGGTTCACCCACCTTCCTGACTTGATTGGAATTGGCAACCGAGGTGAGCGGCAAATGCATCCCACATATAGTACAGGCAGAAAATAGGTCTTTGCTTTTCCCCTCCGATTAGTGGGAGTGAAGCCTAGCCTTACATCTAGTAGTAAAAAAAAAAGACATTGTGTATACCACACACAGGCATTTTACACAGAATTGCTATTTTCTTTCTTTGTAAATATTGCTAAATCGTGCCTGGTTGTAAGACATTTGGTAATCAACCTTTTAGTTTTCTTGTAGGTTTCCTACTGAGACTAAAAAAAATTATCTTATGGTTGTTTTCACATTTTTTTGGTCTTTTTTAAAACTTTTTTTTTATCTTTTTACTTCACATCTTTGCTTAGATTCTTATCTATATATATTATGATTTCTTTTTTGCAATTTATCTTTTATTTTATTCTAAACTGATGGAACTCAATTTTGCCCAGGATACATAACAACATCTTTAGATGCATGGTATGATTCATATACTCAATTTCCGCTGAATAAATGTTTGAAAGAATACGATTTGAAACACCTTTACAAGCCTATTTTCCCCATTCTTCACACTGGAGCGACTCAGTCAGTGGAGATCAAGGCCATATCATCTAGATAAAATGTATTTTTTTTATATCAGCAGTCACCGAGGACAGCTTGTGGTGCTGCTTATGACCTACATGTAATAAAGCTGACATACTGTAATTATTCTGTTCCTCCTTGACAGTGAAAATCCGGCCTCCGCCCCGAGTGCCCTCGCTCCTCAACGTGCTGGTGTACTCCCTGCTGCCTCTCTGCGTGCTGTCCCTGGCCCTGGTGCTGGCCTTGTGGATGTACCGCCACCGCAAACCTCCCTACGGCCATGTAGACCTGAGCGAGGTGAGAGAGGCCATACCCCACCCCGACTCTCGTTTAAAGTGCTGCTCTGCGGCTCTGAGGGATCACTCATCCCTGCATGCTTGTTTCTGTACTGCTGGCGACTGCTGCTGCTGCTGCTGCTGCTGATCATAGTCACTCTGTTCTGTTATACTCCTGAAGGATTTTGTACTGAAGGGAGGAGAAGTGCCAACATATTTAGATCAATTTAGCAAAGGGTGAAGACTTGATACGACTCATAAATTCACATTATCGTTTTTATTGCTTGGTTGTAAATTCATTATCTTTTTTAATCTGTACACTTGATATCTACTGCACAGCTGTCCGTCCTTGGAGAGGGATCCCTCTGGTTGCACTCGAAGATTTCTTATTTTTCCCCGTTAATTGTAGGATTTCTTTGCAAGTTTTTCCCTTGTTCGCTGGAATGGTCTAAGGAAAGGATATAGTGTGTTGTACAAACTGTTAAGCCGCCTGAGAACAATTTGTAATACTGTGGTACAGGGGTTAAGCAAGCGTGTAGTCAACATGTTGAAGTGTCCTTGGGCAAGATATTCAACTCTCTCAACGCTCTCATGGGCAGGTCTACAGTATTTAATAGTATGTACGTTTCTTTTGATAAAAGCGTCTTGATAAAAGCGTCTTGATAAAAGCGTCAAAGAAATAACATGTAGTGTGAAATATAAAATATAAATAAACCTTCGTAGATTGATTGATTAACTGGTCTTCCTCATCCGTTATTCAGGATCCTGGACTGACTCCTCCCTCCCCCTCGGTGGGTCTGAAACCGCTGCAGCTGCTGGAAATCAAAGCCAGGGGCCGCTTTGGTTGTGTCTGGAAGGCCCAGCTGATGAGCGAATATGTTGCTGTAAAGGTCTTCCCTGTTCAGGTATGTCAATCATTCATGGCACTTGTATTTCTCTTTGATTGCTGCATTGTAGCTCCAGTTATTTTTCCCACATCTATTAACATTCCTTTTGAGCCAAAGCCAAGCATCCAATTCTTTGAAAAATGATTTACCACCTGTGATCTTTGAAATCCTCAGAGACTCCTAACCATCTGGAGGATTACATATCCTCATGGTTGCACAATAATACATTTTCGACCCATTTCTGAAGTTGGTACTGCCTAACAATAGCATACAACGGATATTTGTTATATTGGTTCACGTTTGTACACATTTAAAAAGAAAATATGTCATTTCTGGTTACCATCTTTGTTTGGGTGCAAACCGGTGAAAATCCTCAGTGGCTAGAATGGATGGAATATGTTTTCATCCATGTGGTTTGATGGTGATTCACATGCATTTATAACAGCAACAAAGTATTGTTAAATCACAACATAACTGGCTATATAGGTTTTGGCAGGTTGGATGCTTAGCAATGTAACTTGAGTCTAATTTGTATACTCAAGAGGCACACACTGGGGCTTTGGGCAACATATAATGAAAAAAAGCCCATTATCTTTAAAAGTGCTCGTATGAATTGTGATATCCTAAACACTTTCTTATCTGTGTGTTCGAATAGGACAAGCAGTCATGGATAAACGAGCGGGACATCTTCCTGACTCCGGGGATGCGACATGAAAACCTCCTACGTTACATCGCTGCAGAGAAGCACGGCAGCAACCTGGAGACGGAGCTGTGGCTCATCACCGAGTTTCATGAGAGGGTGAGTGCACTGCCTCCTATATATATATATCCCCACATATAGAGCATTGGTGCTGAGGTACAGTATAGGGCTTCTTTGTTTACTAGAACTGCTGGACTTTTTCCAATATTGGTAGAAGCCTTTTATTTACAACAAGCGCTTCGCAGCTTTTATTAAAGTGGATTTCATTACTTATGGCACTTCTTCTGTACACAGCATACCTTAAAGCAAGGAAGTGTGTTTCTTAGGGTGTTTTTCAAAGCATTTAATGACATTTCTTTTTACAGGCAATTATGTGTCGAGTGTTACTTTAAGTGTTCAAACGTGTGTGTGTGTGTGTGTGTGTGTGTGTGTGTGCCTGAAATGATACTGTCTGATTAAACACCTCGAGGCTACCAGAATATCCTGTTCATCACTCTTGTCCACAAAGGTATTAATACATCAAAACAGGATTAAACGATAATTACCATGCCCACAAATGCAGCATTACGTTTGTGTGATGACCTTCCAAAGCTTGTCCTTGTATCACCTTACATCCATGACAAACGTCTTTAGCTCCGGTAATTGTCTCAGTGCCATCTGTTCATGTGTCATTTGTTTGCTTTAATGTTTCTTTTTTTATCAGCATGGTATTTTAAGCTCTATTGTTTGAATTTAGACGCCTCTTGTAATTCTTCCAGACTATGCTTTTCAGCTGGCAAATGAAGTAAAACATGGGACCAAAAACCATCTATTCCAGGGTTTTAGTTGGCTCAATAAATGGACACTAACGGTATCTGGGAAATTGGTTCAAATTTAGATTCTTGTTCAGTTTTTAATCCCAGTTTTTGTTTGTGTACAGGGCTCATTGACGGACCACCTAAAGGGGAACACTGTAAGCTGGGGAGACCTGTGCCACATAGCAGAGACCATGTCCCGCGGCTTGGCTTACCTCCATGAGGACATTCCCAGCTACAAGGGAGAGGGGCCCAAACCCACCATCGCCCACAGGTAGAGACACAATGCACCTTTACTGCCTTTCCCGAACCTCAACACACTGAAAACCAGAGCACAACTGATTGTAGTTAATAAGTACTGCCCTCTCCTGGTTGTGTTAGTATGTGTGAGTAAACATGTATCTAATTACAGCACTTTAATGAGTTTTGTCCTGAAATGAATTTCCCAGGGACTTCAAGAGTAAGAATGTGATGGTTCGAGATGATCTGAGTGCAATCATTGGAGACTTTGGGCTCGCTGTACGATTTGAACCAGGAAAACCTCCAGGAGATACTCATGGCCAGGTAAGGAATCTCTTTATTTCCACTAATGTAACTCACAAACTGAAATAAGACGCCTCAAGCTGTTTCTGTAGGAAGCAAGGGATTCAACAAGCTCTTCAGATTTGGTTCCAAGAAAGTTAACATGTGCATGGTATACATCTTAAACACAACTATTAACCTGAAGATGAGCATTATGATGATGAGTAAAGCACTTATGATACTTACAAAGCATTGATCCTGGCTAAATAACTTATAATAGTTTTGAGGTTACTTTGTTGTCTGTTAGCCCTGCAGTGAAGCAGGATGCTGTTGTATAATAAAACATTATTTCCTGTTACTTTAATTAGCGCTGTTGGGTACAATAAGTGTCTTTGTAGCCACTGGGTTGATGCTTTAAAAAGACTAACTTCCAGGAATGTTACCAGACGGCATAACTCTTGAGAAACATCATATTTGCACATACTCATATTTATTAGAATCCGTTGTCTTTGCAGGTGGGTACGAGGCGTTACATGGCTCCAGAGGTGCTGGAGGGAGCCATCAACTTCCAGCGAGACTCCTTCCTGAGGATAGACATGTACGCTATGGGCCTGGTGCTGTGGGAGCTGGTGTCCCGCTGCACAGTGACAGACGGTGAGTCAAACAGGGCAGGAATGCCGCTTCAGTCACAGGTGAAAGGTCACTGTGCTGCAGGCTGACCTAATAAACAAAGGATTAGTTTTCCTTTTTCCTGGGAAAGGCTAAAGGTGTAACGTTTGTTGTTACTCTTTAAATAGGGTTTCAGATTTTCATCTTAATGCTGCACTGTTTTCTTACCCTGATCACCGTGTAACGCTTTCCATCCTGCGCCCTCAATGCCCCCCCCCTGTACAGTTGGCGAGTACATGCTACCGTTTGAGGAAGAAATCGGCCAGCATCCCACCCTGGAGGATCTGCAGGATGTGGTCGTGCATAAGAAGATGCGTCCAGCCATCAAGGACTGCTGGCTCAAACATCCCGTGAGTAACATTAGAAGAATAGCTCGCGCTGTTTCCAGAGAAATTCCAGGATGTCATGCATCCTTTATTCCAGTAAATACAGCTCGATCATCTAAGGTCACAGTTCTCCGAATTTGCTGATGTTCCTGAAACTTTTTTCAGTTACATTTAATCCTTCAGGCCGCAGAAAAAGGGATGCATTTCTGTCCCATGGAATTGATTTGAATTTAAAGTTGGGTTTTATACTAACTAACCAGAGGTGGGAGAAGTACTCATCCTGTACTTAAGAAAAAGACCATAGTGTAGAAGTATCAGAGTGTAGAAATATCAGAGTGTAGAAATACTTTGTTACAAGTAAAAGTCCTTTACTCAAAATGTTACCTAAGTACAAAAGTATTGGCATCAAAATATACTTACAGCTTATTTTAATGACTTTATATAGCGCAGGGTAGCTTGTGAATTTACTCGAGGTGTAACTAAAGTCTTGTCTAAGTGTGTTTATATTTCACATTGTAAATCCAAATCTGCAAAGCAACTCAAAGTATTAATAGTACAAATGTGTACCTCTGAAGTCCAAAAACACGTCTAAATACTCAAGTAATGTACAAGTATCTCAAAATTGTCCTTAAGTCCAGCGCTTGAGTAAATGTACTTAGATACTTTACACCACTGATACTAACTCTCCTGTGTCTTCTGGTGTGTGGCTGCAGGGTTTGAACCAGATGTGTGAGACCATTGAAGAATGCTGGGACCACGACGCAGAGGCGCGATTGTCCGCCGGCTGCGTGGAGGAGCGCATCGGCCAGATCTCCAGGACGACCAGCAGCACTACCTCAGACAGCCCCGTCTCCATCGTGACGTCTCTCACCAACGAGGACCTACCTCCCAAAGAGTCCAGCACCTGAACGGGGGACGCCACCTTTCCCCCTGAGCTCCTGACTTTTTATTTCTCAAATCCAAACTCAGCGGATCTCCGTGAATATTTAAAAACGTTTAAAAAACAACAACTAGCAACTTGAATGCAGCTGCTATTTCCCCCCAATACTGGTATTTCAGTTCATTGGTGTTTTAAGTCGGATCTACTACTAACACATCCATCTGCTGTAGTTTTGAAGTAGTAATAAGTTATGCGATGGGCACATCTGATAACAACCATGTGTCAAATCCTAAATATCGTCATTACCTCATGTATTTCTTTCGTGTTAGTCTATTTTTATTACCTCATAAGTTGTTATCTTTGTCGTTTTCCTGTCTTGGTCATGATCTTCTGCGGCCAAATGAAACAAACTCTTGCTCCAAACCTCGGTCGACGTGCTGCACACCTCGGAGGAACCCTTTTGAGACTGTTAAACAAAATATATTCATCTTCCTCAGGGGTCGAAGCTTCTCGATTCTTTTTAACTCGAGTGTGCTCCCTTATTTTAAACCTGTGAATGCCTCAGAATGAATCAGATTCAAAGAAATCGGAGCACAGCTGTTTTCTCGCAAGGGAAGAGCTGAAACGGGAGCTGAGCAGTTGTATTGGACGTTTGGACTTTTTTGAAGATTTGGGACAAGCGCCTTGTCCCCGGGGAACTACCTCTCAGGTATCCAGTAGGCTTCTTTGGAACATTTTCTCTAAGTTGAGAGCCATGCTATCCAGCTAGCTATCATGGACGTATTCCTGGATTTTATTTTGTTTTTTAATTGTAGAAATGTCAGAGTTACTCCTTTGCCAGTGCCAGGGGCATTGACGGATGCTGTCTGGAGTTGCAATGTTACACATTCTTGATTTTAACTGTCTGAGTGAGTGAGCGAGCGAGCGAGTGAATGAGTGAGAAGTTGAAGACTAAATGATGTGAGATGGAAAGAGCGTGTTTTTAAAGTGAGAACCATGGACAGATAGTTGGGGTTTATCCTTGAGGGCCATACTTGAGTAAGCAACATGTCTGTTTTTTAATTTTCATGGGTGTTTGTTCAATAGACTCAGTCGGACACCAGTCCCCAGATACCTCAGTCACTGTACATCATGCAAGGAGTGCTCAAATGGTTGCCTTTGTCTCAAATGCAATGCCATAGTTGAACCATAACATGAATACCATACATTGAATGTCCGTTATGCTGCTGTGACTATTCCAGGATACTCAAGGATTTGTAGATGTACATGTATTCTTTGTTAATATAACGCTAATGATATTATGTGAGGCTAATATTCTGTTTTTGTGTTTTTTGACTGGGTAAGCCCTCAGCTGCTTACTCTTCCAGACTGACCTCAGATATTCTGACAAGTACCTCAGGCTTTTTCTACATGTATATCAAGTTGTGTTATGTATTTTATTGTGTTTTAGTAGTTGAGATATTTTATTGCCGGTTGGGCCTCTTTGTCTGTGGAGATTTTTTTGAATAGAGCCTGACCAGTCGTCACGGTGTTTATGCTGTACAAACCTAAAAGAAGAGAGGCAGATTCTTGTAAATAGACCTGTAACACACAGTTGCCGAACACTGATCTGTTTTTTAAAAATACAAAATCAGGGCATTATTGTTCTCATTTCACAGAAATTGAAAGGGATTTCTCAGTTCCACCTCGACATATTTAATAGTAAGTTGACTGACAACTAGCCCTGTGATTTATTTTATTTTCTATATAAACATATATATATACTTTTGTTTTTCAAGAATGGTGGTTGTTTTGCAGATTTCTATGAATAATGGTATCAGTTCCTCTGAATCAGAAGCTGTGTAGGTAGCACTTGCATTTAGAAAGCTTAGTATGTATATCGTCAAAAATACCACAAAAAATCCCTAATGGTTTGGTGCTGGCGGCTTCTGTGATTGGCCACTTGCTGGAAATGCCAGATTGAACAGTATTACCTCAATATTAACCCGCTGATGTGATGTTCAGACCTGTTTGGTGATAGTTTAACCGCGTTGGACGACACACAGGCTCATCTGTTGTGCTTTGACTAGTGCTGTGAAGAGATGGTGATTTTAACAGTTTTAACAGTGGTCTGTGACGCTTGCTCCTGTGCAGTTTGTGTTGAAGAACATCAATCCATACATAATAATGGTTTTAGTGTTTGGATATCATCAATGTGTCTATAACTACATGATTGAATGATTTATAATGCAGCCCCGTTGTGATTCATGTAAACAGTGGCATGTGCTAGTCCCAGGGTCCAGCAATATTTATTATACAGCAATAGTCACTTGAATATCATTAGTTTAAGTAGTTAAACTCAGCTGTGACTTAGCAGTTTTTCTTCTGCGGATCAATAAAGTTCATCTCATCACACCTGGATCGTGTTCTGATGAGGACACATGTTAAACCTCCCGATTGAAGAAATGCTGTGGGGTGAATTTGTTGTGTGTTAGCAGAACGGGACCCAGGTGCTTTCACGTATTGTGCCAGAAAAAAACAACGATCTCAAAGGAAAATCTGCCGTTATCGTTCGTTACCTCCAAATGCTGTCTTACACCCAGCTCTTCTGAACAGAAAACCAGTTACCTCATGCAGTACCTCGTTAGTAACACTAACATGGAGTCAGTCTCATCTTCAAAAACTAAGAAAAGACAAAAAAAATCAATTATCGTGTATATATTTACTTGACAAGTGTAAAAGGTTTCTTCCTTTTCATGTGTGAATCCTGTGAAAGCAAAATTCTTTCTATTTTTTTTTTTTTACAGTCAACATATTGTTCATCTCTCATAGTGTGTATGGATGTTTGACTGCAAGTGTGTGACCTCTGTTTATGTGAACTGTGTGTGCGCAGTGTGTCAGTGTGTGTGTGTGTGCGTCTGTTGGTTGGTTTCACTAAAACAGTACGAATGGTAATTTTATCTGTGAGTTGAAATGCTTAGAAATATAAACTAGATGAGAATACATCCATCTTTTTGTATATTGAAATAAAGACAAACACTGATTAACCATGTAAATTATTCACAGTTTCTCCTGACTACATGACAAACAAATATATTTTTGAATTAGAGTGATTTACTGCTTTTGAAATACAACTCTTCTGAGGGAAAACCTTCAATTTTTGTTGATTCAAAATTATATTTATATCAACTTTCTCAAACACTACTTATCCAGGGCTTGTCCTATTGTTACATATCTACACTAGAGGGCAGCAATGGTGTCAGTAGGCTGTGGCCTAGTTTATCAGTATAAGAAAATACCCATTGATCAAAACAACTTATTTTGCAAATAACATATTTACATTTTCAATTTATAATTTAATGATGTGATCACTTTTCATAATGACTTAATGTTTTCTTTCCTAATTAATATTGATATTCTTTGTGTCTGATAAAGGGTCTTACATTGTAAACAAGACTTATGTTTGGGATGCAGAAGTGTCACATTTTATTTGCTGCTGAACATGGACAGAACAATGGCGTGCCCAGTTTAAATATACAGAAATTATTTAATTAATGTGTCAAAGGTAACATATTAATATATAGTAAAATGCCAAATAATAACAATTTAAATGTACTACAGCACTGGAGGCTTGTTTTAACTAATCTAACAGAGTTGAGAAAGGATCTATTTCAGATAAGTAATGGGAAATGCTAACCATACGTTTGTCATCGAAACAAAAAGTAAAACAAGCGAAAGAAACGTAATCATTTGGCAACATGGGCAATACTGTATATTGCAACATGAATTAAGGTGTGGCACATTTGTCACACAACAAATGTCCTGTGCTCATGAATTGACATACAAGCCAGCAATATAATGTAATGTCTAATCGTATTGCAAGTCCTTATAATATAAAGATTCTAAGAAATGTAAACATGACCGTTTTTAGCACATTCAGGGGCAATCGTACAATCCATCATCCATTGACATGTTATGTGATAGTGTCTCTTAAATGTTTATTTTTGCAGGGGGGGGAAAGAGTTATAATTGCACGGACGCATTATTCCAAGGTACTCACAAATGTAATATCTTTTTTTTACAACATATTATTTAAACCATTTTGGGAAGTTAATGCATACGAATCCAGTTCAATCCGTTTGCAAAATGTCCGCTTGCACCTGAACGCAGCATAGTTCCTTTCCGTTGAAAACATCTGGCCAATCAAAACGCGTCTCTACCGTCACGTGATAAACCGACTGGTAATTTACGAATGACTTGAGAGTTGCTGATTGTGGGCTACTTTCCGATGTACAGTGACTCAAAGCGCACAACTTTCTGCCGCTGTTGGAGTTAGTTTTTTCTAACGGAAATGCTCGTCGGTTTTCACAGACTTTATTAAGTTACATTTTGTTTGGATACCGTGGCCATTATGTCAGTAAAATGCAGAGCAGGTGAGTTGAAGTAGCGCTTTTTTTTAAGCCTGTGCCAGCAAAGCAGTCTATGTCCCGGGTCGACAGCATCACTTTTTCATTGCAAACTGTCCGGAAAAAGAAATGTCGGTTTCGTGTTGCTGTCGAGTTCTGTAATTAATACCCGAGATGTTGATTATTTTTGTTCATTTAAATCTGTGTTTTTCTCTATTTTCCTTGTATTACGGTTGTGTTGCATTGCTGTTATGTATTGACCGTATAACGTTATTTTACAAACAAGCTAGCAACAGCAACACAGTGCTTAAAGTTGTACCGTTAGCCTACCTGTAAGTAATTACAAAAAGTAAATCATATTGTGAAAGCGAATAACAAAATGACCTTAAATATGTTATGCTTGCTGTAACGTTAAACACTAAACTTTGTGTAACTCTCATAGTTTTTATTTATGTGAAACTCACATCATTAAATGTAAGTAGGGTTAAGTGATTATCTGTCTGTTACAGGACACATGTATTGACTCTTTATTAGATGTGTACATGTTTTACTTTGCTTATCAAGGGTTACTATACAGACTTTTAATACTTTTCTTATACAGTAGATTAACACATTTGGAAAAGAAACTCCCACTCACAAAGACAGACCATCTTAACCCATCTTTTTCTGTTTCAGCCATCCAAGGACCAGGGCAGCGTGTTAAGTTCAGGGGCTAGCTGGCCTGCTGTACCCCCTGTAAAGGGTGGCTGCTGGGATGCTACGGAAGAGCAGCAGTGGTGCTGGTGGTGGTGGAAATAACCAAACCCAGGGTCTACCAAGACATCTATCCAAGGCCCACACAGTATCTCTGTCTGCCGGATCCACCAAGACCTGGGATATGGGCCGCAGCTCCAAGAACCCCAACCCTCTGAGCAGCATGGGGCTCACCTCCCATCTGGTGGGGGCTCCAGGAGTGGATCCAGAGTATGTCATGCATCTGGTGAATGATGTACGGGGCTTCGCTGATGTGCTGCTCAACCTAAAAGAGGCTTTCCAGTGTAAAGGTGAGTTCAGGGGGAGCTGGAATGCAGAGGTGTTTGTGCAGGAGCTGCGGGGGTCAGGGGGGGAAGTGGAAAAACCATACAAGTCACAGTTGAAGACAGTAAATCCACCATTGGATACTTGTTACCCAAATCAATGTTGCATGTTTGTTGTAAGCTATGGGTTATACAGATGTAGCACTCCAGATAGGACTCCACCCAGCGGATTCCAACCGAAAACCCAGCGGATCCCAGTGGCTGGGGGCGTTGCCAAATTGCTAAGAGGGCGTTGCCAAATTGTATACAGATAACAGTATTGCACCTTTTGTGTCACTTTTCTCTCGCCTACTTCTACTTAAGTTGGGATTTCTTGCAAATCCTACAAAGACTTCCTTTCAACTAACCCCAGATAGTGTGGGAAATGTGTGGCATTAAGTGAGTAGTTGAAACAATATTCATGGAGCATGATAAGCGCAAGAACGTAAGGCTTTTTCACTTGAGTAAGTCCTTAACTTTGATAAGAGGCTACTGCCTGTGGAGCACATATCTGTTCTATGATGGATTTTTTCTTGTGTACTTGCTGACCATATATCTAGAAAGGAGCCAAGGATGATGCAGATAGCTAGAATTCTCTAAAAGAACATTCCATTGTAGATAAACTTGTATTGTATTGACAAGTTTTCTTAGTTTGGCCAGTTGTTCACATGTATCACAGTTGCTTAACGCACCAACAGCTTTTTTTTAAACAGTGTAACAGTGAACTTTTTTCTTTGACTCAGGCAGTATATCACAAACACTGTCTTCGTTCTGCTTTGATGCCTTCTGTGCTGCTAACACCCACAGAACATAGTTGCAGTCATGGCACCGTAAAGGATTAAGAGTTCAGGAAAGCTCTGTGCGTTTTTCTGATATAACAGATAGAAAACCACAGCTCAAAGTTTGCCACCATGACACACAGCCAGAACCACCTGGAGTGTTGGTGTACAGTGTGATAACAGCCTCACCGCTAACATGCCGGAGCACTTGCAGGGTTGTTAGCCTCTTAACAGCTACACAAACCCACAACGTGCTTCACACACGCACAAGAAGTAGCAGACACCAGAGCGGACATAGATTACGAACGTTTTCTCTGTTTTTCTCACTTGGGTTTGATGGCTTTGCTCTTGTTTGCAGACACACACACACAAACACTCCACCCACACACATTCTCACATAGTGTTTAACAAGGCTTCCTACTACATACACTAAAAGTGACTTACTGTATGTCATGTATTACTTTTCATTATCAGTTCATTTGTGTATTCTTTTATTCAATTACTTTATAAATGTGTTAAATTAAAGGAATCCGGAAGAAAGTGACATTTTCAAGTTTTTTTATCTACTTGACAATTAATCAACTAATAATGTAAGCACTTATTTTATTAGTTTTTTCATTTTATAATAGCAATGAATTAAATCAAACCATTGCTTAAAGTCATGTAATTATATTTTGTTGTGTCTTCACTGTTGTTGTTTCATTGATAGAGGATTTTTCTTCTGTGTAGTCAATCATTTGAGACTTCCACTGTTCCACAACTACTACTAGTGCTGCTGCTGCTGTTGGGTTAAAAGGCACATACCTACACTCTCACACACACTCTCCCATGCTGGGGTCCAGCTGCAGGTTTGGGAGTGGGAGTGAGTTGTTTAGCCATTCCTCTGGCGGGAGGAGTGAGGCCTCTGTGAGGAAGCCTTGGCTTGCGTCGTGCTGAGTGTTGCTCTGAGCCATCGCGAAAACATTTGGGATATTTGCCTCCCCGTTAACAACAGCTCTTATTGAGCAGGAGATGGAGTCATACAACACGACCCTATCATTTAATTCAGCTATTTGTCGTTTGGATTAGTGGTTTATTTACACTGACACAAGTAGCTTCGTCGAACAACTCAGACAAAATGCTGCTACTATAATGTGGTTTGCTGTCAAAGTAAACATTGAGACGTTTTTATTAGTAAGTCTGGTCTGATGGTCACGTTGTTTTAAATACACACTGTCATCTGACTTAGAATGCTACACACAGTAAACCAAAACTCAATCAACCACCTTAAAAGCTAGCAAGCACGGACACATGAATCATCCCTGAGTTGAAATGTGATTTAGAGACTGACAATGTTGAGTATTTATGATCATACATTCTTCTTGTCCCATACGTTGAACATCCTGAACATTGTTTTAAGTCTGGCTCCTGTTGGCTGGCCCTGGAGCAATCCAGGCAGTCGTCTCTTAAAGGCAGACACTAATTATCACCTTTGAATGCTTTTATCTTTGCCACAGTAAAGAGTTTTTATGACCAGGTTGACATTTTTATTCAATGTATCCTTCATTTAGACAGGAAGGTACCATTGAGGTTATGTTTTTCAAAAGGGTTCTGAGGAAATATTATCAGTAAATGTTAACTTGGAAGTCCCTATGTTCCAAATCACGTTGATTGGATCGCAGACACCTTTCCCAGTGTGCGATGATTACATCTATAAATAGATTGTATAATGTCTTGTTGTTTTTGTGTAAGGGATCAGAGAGGTTACACAGCTGGAAAAAGCAACAGTAGGTCCGTTTTCTTTATTGATAAAAACTCTGTTTTTGTAAAGCA